TGAGAGACCCATACCCGTGCGGAATTGACCAGGAGGAGGGGGGGGGGGAGGAGGAGGAGGAGGAAGGAGAAGAGGGAGAAGAAGCAGTGTTGGAAGGGAAGGATGAGGTTGACGATGAGTCGAAGGAAGTCGGGCGCGAGGAAGGTGAAGGAGAGGAGGGAGAGGGAGCCAGCGAGTAAGAGGAGCCAGCTTGAAACATGGGAGCTTGTTGGATTGAATTTCCAGGAAGCTGAGCTGAGTTTCTGCTCTGTCGCGCAGGCGCTGGGAATGAGGAGGAGGAGGAGGAGGCTGAGGGGGAGGAGGAGAGGAGGAGGAGGCCACATCCATTGCTGAGTTCGCCACAGAACGAGCAGGTCGGGCGGCTCCAGCTCCATCGACTCCTTGCGCAACTTGTTGCGGTCTCACAAGCTCCTGTGCAGTCCCTCCAAGTGTTTGGCGAGCAGCTGCTGTCATCGTGCCAGCACTTGACTGCGACGACTTCATCCCCGCCGGGTCGCCGGATGACAGCGAAGGCCCTGCGTCCTCTTGCCCCGACCTCTCGTTCCTCTGATCTTGCACGCCTCCAGCTGGCTTCTGACTCGGTGCCTGCTGCAGCTGAGAATCGGTATCATCAAGGGTAGGAAGAGCAGAGCCTGACGACTGCTGCGAAGGTCTCGACTGAGCTGGGCGGGAGCTGGTGACCTGCTGGCTGGACGTCGGGACACCGTCGTGAAACTCCAAACGACCAGGGAGCAGGGAAGGACTTGCACTACTTGCCTTGGATCCAGAGAGTGAGGTTCCTTGGGCGGGAAGGCTGGACTCGGAGGGAGTCGAAGACTGCGACGTGATAGGATTCGTCGGAGAGTCAGCTTGAAGACTTTGAGCTTCGCTCGTTCCAGTTCCTGTGAGGACTGAATCCGAATTCTTTCCCCCGCTGAGCGATGACTCCGTTGCTGCTGTTTCCATGGGTCCGTTGCCTTTCAGCGAAGTCCCGTCCCGACTGTCCACAGCAGCAGCCTGACTGCCAAGATTCAGCGTGCGGGGGTACAGCACTGCTCCTCCGAGTGTCTTCGGAAGGGTCAAGGATCCTCCTGGCGAGCCCGAGGCACCACTGTTGGCTGATGAGGACGACGTGTCGGGAAGGGAAGCTGTAGTAGCATCCGACAGCCCGTCTTCGCTGATTGGAGACTGCGGAAGGAAGTTCTGGCCCCTGACCTGCTCAAGACATACGTCAGCTCATCAAGCTCGAGGCTGAGGTCGATGCCAACCTGCAAGAGCGATCTCTTGCCGACTTGTCTCCTCCATCGTTCCGTGCTCGTCAGATCCTTGATCAGGTTGAATCCCCACGTGCCCCGCCCCTGCTCTCCCTTGTCCCCCGGCCTCATCGCTTCATCCACTCGCAGGCTGGCAGAGATTCGCCGTTGCTGCAACACGGAGGCCTGTTGTCACGCGAGGAGTTGAAATCAGTTAAGAGACAAGGCAATAGACATATCATAACAGCGGGAACTGTGGACGAAGCTCAGCAAGTGGAGCAAGGAATGTTCAGACACAAATGCAGCGAGTTGAAAATCGGAAGACAGAAGAAGCAAGAGTCGTCACTTACCATCTCATCATGTACTGCCCCCAAGTTGACCATCAGATGAAAGAGAACAAGGCATTTCAAAGAAGCTGCCCATGGGATCAAACTGGAAGTAGTTGAATAGCTGAAGTTACCTTTGATGCACGGTGAAGCGGACATTCTGAACGCGAGGGTTGTCCAAGTACTCACGAGCACAACTGTCTTTCCCCCACTTTCCTATCTTTGTGCATAGCCTTGTGGTGTCCTGACAGCAAAGAAACGGAAGAATAAGAAACGAGACGCAAAGGGGGCGACAAATAAGAGGGAATGGATTATCTAGCCAATATCAACTTGCAACCACCCTGTCTCTTTATCTACCAGTATCCCTCCACATTCAATCCATCTCCTGCTCTCATCATTCCCTTCCTTGCGCATCCATTCCCTTCCTTGCGGATGCGAAAGAGAGGGAGCAGGTTCTTGCTCTCTACGTCTCTCTTCGCGAGCTAATCGCCTTTGATTGCACTTTTCATGTCCGTCTCAAATATCCTCTTCACCTCATTCTCTTTCCATAATTTAATCACCCTAACCTCATCCCCGCTCTTCATCCTTCTATCCTCTCCTTCATCCTGTCCTCCTCTCCTCTCCTCTCCTCTCCTCCTTTCCTCCTCTCGTCTCATTATCGCTTACCATTCTCTCATCCACCCCTCTTTCCTTGACTTCCTTCCCTCTCACTGCTATCCTCTCCTATCTTGCCATGCTCTCCTCCTCTCCTCCCTTCCTTCCTCTCCTCTCCCCTCGCTTTTTGCCAACATTTTCGCCACTTTTAGGAGGGCGCACGCTGACTCACACTTAACTAAAAATTACGAGAGGGGATGAGGGTAAAATCGGAGGTCCATCGGGGCCTGAAACTCAAAAGGAAGTGAAGTGACTCAGTGACCGAGACTTTCGAGGCTCATAACATTATTCTTCTAGTGTCCAAAGTAGGGTCATATCGGAGTCCTATATATGGGTTTAGGTCCGTCGAATGATGCTATGACCCGGTCTTATCGACTTGAGAACACCCATTGTAAAAATTTATCTCGCTCAATCTGAGTACAAATCTAAAAGTTCAGTGACCAAATCATGTACGAGAGATATCTAAAATTGTTTTAAAGTGTATTGATGTTCTAGGTTTTTCTGTACGAGGACTAAAATGTGTATTTTAGAAACAGGTGTCTTCCAACCGGATGTATGAGGGTGGGGTTGGTCAGTGTCATTGGAAAAGGGGGTGGGGGTACACAAATGAGGGGATAGAAAGGAAAAATGAATATTTTCGAGGGGTGGTACCTTTTTGAGCCTGGAAGGTGCATTAGAGTCTTAAGATCATATGAGAATGATGATACGTAGGGTGGATATAAGAATGTTCTGAAGGAATGACCACATGTCCTAAAAAGGGGTGGGTAGGGGTGATAAAGACGTGAGGGGGTACGGTACAAGTTTCTTAGTGTGGTGGGGTAGTACGGGTGTATGGGCGGCGAAATTCCTTTGGAATGGCGCAGGGGAGGGAGCGTGGGATGGAAGGGGACTGAGGAAAGGGATGAGGAGGAGGAGGACTCGATCTGACCATGAAGACTCTTGAACCTTTTGACATCGGATGAGTGCTACTTCAATCTTCCCGTGAGATTCAGAGAGTTGTGGTGGGCAATTTGTGTCATAGGGATAGCGGGACAATGCACGGCAGTTGATGCATGAGTGAAAAAATGAGGCGAGACTTGACCAGAGATAAGAAGGCCTGGAGATTTAATGTGTTGAGAATCAGAAACAGTTTGATGGTCAGTGGTAGAAAACAGAAGACAGAACGAAACGTACAGAATTGAGGCATCTTCACAACAGATGGAAGTTGATGCGAGCACATTGCTTTGTTTAGATGGAGACGAGATGTTGCAGGATTATGTCTTGAGGGAAATTTTACTGGCGGACGGATCATGGGAAGATTCATGATTTGTTTACAAGGTAGCTAGCTCTCGAAGGGACGTGGAATTTTCGAAAGAACGTGGGATTAGGAGGTCCATCGTGAAGAAGAGTAGAATGATGTATTTTTATCGTACAGAATATGAATCACCATATTGAAACAGCAGGATTGATCTGATGTACCACAGTGATATTACACAAGATTATTTGGTTCTTTGAAGGATACTTGGAGGTTGTGCAGGATTTAGAGGAAATGTTGCAACTCTTTGAAGTGGTTGTGAAGCTGTGATAATGGATCAGTGGGAATTAACCGAGTTGAATTATGTTGGAAGAATTCAAAAGATGAGGAGGAATAGCAGTAATCATAGAACCTTGATGTTTGAAGAATTCATTTACCTGAAAAGTGGCGATATAATGGAGAAGGCCCTGATTGGATAATGCTCTGACTACTCTTTCCTCAGCTACATCATGTCCAAATTGCCAGATTGCAAATGGGCCCAGAGAAACGATAAGATTTTGTTCACTATCAACATTCCAAACCTTGATCCAAATAAGACAACCATCAATGTTACCGAGACTTCGTTCACATTCAAGAGTGAAGATCATGAGTTGAGTTTGGATTTCTTCGGTACAGTTGATCCAAAGCAGAGCTCATGGAAGGTTGGAGCTCGTGACGTTGCTTTCGTCTTCATGAGGAAGGAAGTTGGGGATTATTGGGACACCTTGCACAAGGGGAAAAAGATCCATACGCTCAAAGTCGACTGGGACAAGTGGAAAGACGAAGATGAGGCTCGCGATGTAATGTATTGTAATCTTGCGCTTCCATTTGACCGTCTGCGGGTGGTGACAGGGCGATCTGGATATGAGCGGATTTGATAAGTTTGACTTCGGAGGAGCAGGAGCAGGAGGGTTTGACTCTGACGACGAGGATGAGGATGATGGACGTAAGTGACTGCCCTTGCAATCTGGGGATGGTGATTTGTTTGCCAGCCATCGAGGGACTGGATGGAAAGAAGGAAGAGGAGGAAGAGGATGGAGAGAAGGCTGCTTCGAATACTGAGGTAATCTCGTTTGCATACAAGCTTGGTTGTGGGTTTAACAAGTTGTTTGCAGTGATCAAATTTTCCAGACATGTAGAACAGTGGAAGATCCGTTAGTCAGTCACAAGTCTATAGCTCAGCTTGTTCAGGCTATCCCGTCTACTCTTTGTAAATGGTTGAGAACTTTGAACGACGTTGAAGTGTAGCGATCAGCTCCGTTGCTTGCACTAGGCATCGGGCGTAGGTTCTCATGTGTTTTTTAACACATGAGAACCCTCGTGGGTCCTCCCTGCTTTTTCATTGGCAAGTCCTCCACATTCCTTCCCGACCTGAGGAGGAGCGAAGGACACATAGCGCAGAACCTCGTCAGTTTCACTTCATGTAGGCAATGGATTTGACTAGCTCGATATGTCCTTGCTGCAGCTCAACGTCCTCCCTGACCGACTATGAACAAGTCAGGGGGAAAGCGGGACAAGATGTCAGAGGTTAACCCTCACCTTGCAGATGATAGGAAGGTCTGTAAGAGGATCCAACATGTTCGACAGGTAGAGGAGCATGTGAAAGTCGCGCATCTGCAGACGGAGTTAGCATGAGCACGACGGAGTAGCGTTGCGTTCTTACTCTGATGCAGAAGGGCACCTCCTCGTGGGACAGCAGGATGTGTTTCACTTCCATCCTGTTCTGATCCTGCCAGCTCGTCACAGGTGCATGTTGCATTGAGACATGTCAAGGTACTTGTCCCGGTCGGTTCTTGACAGGGAAGAAAGCCTGGAAGCGAAACGTGAGCTCGAGATCAGTGACGGAGACTGGGAGGGGGGAGGGGAGAGGGGGAGAGTGATAGCAACGACAGGAGGAAGATGGAAGGAAGATGAAAGGGGATAGAAAATGAGTAGTGACTCACTTCACGGTTTCCCCAAATCTCAGAATTGTGCGTCTTGATTGGAACTGTTGGCAGGATCATGTTCAGAAAGGAGCAAGAAATGCAAGACAAGTCACCGGTGTTGATAAAGAAGTCGTTGTCGACCTGATAGAAGATGAGTAGAAGTCTATCATCGTCGTCGGCATCACCTTCTGTGTGTCTTTCCGCTCTACAAGCACATCTTGGACAGTTCCTGGGGCATTTCATATCAAGGAAGAACGACAACACAGAAAGCATCAACACAGTGACATGTTTGAACATGTTGACGTCTCACGCATAACAAGTAGCTCCACAAATCATACTTGTGTATCCTCTGTTGGGGTTGTTGGGAGGGACCAAGATGTCCCTGCGGTACATGTCTAGACAGAGATCGCTGATCTGATATGCTTCGAAGACGATAGAGTCCGTTGTCTCTGCACGCGCTTCACTCCTCCTCCTCCACCACCACCACCCCCACCATCATCCCCCCCCCCTCCTCCTCCTCCTCCTCCTCCTCCTCCTCCTCCTCCTCCTCCTCCTCCTCCTCGCACCATTTCGAGTGATCACCGCCGACACCATGGAGCTCGCAAAGTCGTATCCATGTTTCTTCTCCATCTATATCAATGTGAGGCAGACTTCATAACCTTCCTCCTCCTTCCCCTGAAGTTTATCCGCTATCGCCTAACGCCCAATCCACCCCCACCTCCGCTCTCCACCTCCTTTCCTCCTTCTCGCCCTTGTTTTCCCTGTCAACGTCACCTTGTGTTGTAGCGAGCATGCCAGCATGACGTCCTGGAGTATCACAAGCGTGTCAAACAGAAGGAGAAGTAGATTCAAGGAAGGACGCAAAGACATCGGAGGAGTGTAATGGTCAGAGCACCAGAAAGGATAGGAGGAGGCAGGAGCAGCAAGGCAATTGGGGAGGTGAGGGGAGAGAGGGGAAGTTAGGAGGGAAGGAAGGTCGAAGTACCTGACTACTAAAAATTGACTTGCGAGGTTTGACAGAGAAAACCATCCCAACCTGGTATCATCATCGTCAAATTCTCTTCTTCGCTTGCCAAGATTCCTCCTCCTTCTCCCCTCCTCCCCTCTCCTCTTCATAGTGTCATCTTCTCACCATCCGCATCCCCAGCAATGACGCAAGACGCTCAACTTTTTCTTCATCGGGATCCACCTGAACAAATTTCTCTCAGCTTGAACTAAAATGAAAGCACGATCCAAATCAGATCTCTATCATCATCATCATCACCACCACCACCACCACCACCACCACCACCACCACCACCACCACCATCGTCATCATCGTCATCGTCATCGTCATCGTCATCGTCATCATCGCCGTCACCTCCGTCAGGTTGTAAGCTTCCTCGTCTCCTCGCTGTGGAGGCTCATAGATGACATCGCAGAACACTTGAAGGAAACCAATTAGATTCTCAGCAACCATTTGAGCGAGTGCCTCACCGTTCCTGTTCTTGTCGACATGCCCAAACATGTATCCAACCCTTCATCGCACAAAACTCATATTCTCTCTGCAATTCCATATTTGTAGCCTACCTGTGACTCTTGAAAGACAGATCTCCAACCACATAACTCTGGAATGCATTGCAGAATCACAGCATCATTTGCATTTGACGTATTTTCTCCCCACCACTCCCTTCCCCTCCTCCACCAGATCCTGCCCAGGTACCCTTCCCCGCACTCTTCATTTCCTCTCTCACCTGAAACTGGCTCGCAGCACTGAACTCCACAGAAAGCGACTGTAGACAACAATGGTCATGGTTGTCGCACCCTCTCAAAGTGAGAACGAGACGGAAATACAAACAAACTCACCTGCACTCGCAGAAGCTTTTGTGCTCGGATCAGATATTTTGCTTCTTCTTCAAGACTGACAATCTGAGACAAACAAGCACTTACTGCATGCTGTCCCTCCCTCCCTCCCTCCCTCCCTCCCTCCCTCCCTCCTTGACCTCCCCTTCTCGCGCTTTCTCCCCTATCCATCGCTCTGCCTCTCGCTACCTCATTCGTTCGATATTTTGATCCATACTTCTGCACCAGCTGCTTGATACGATTCGCGCTCTCGGACCTAGCAAACTTGCATCAGAGGTCGAACCTCGTCGACACAACTTCAAGACACGTCAGAAGCAGAGCTCTACTGACCTCGATCTCAGAGGAGCAAACGTGTCTTCGACGTCTTCCGGACTTGCCGATGGGTCGTGAGTCCTGCACATCAACATGAGCAAGTGAGACCAACATAACTGGCTACAGGGGGCTGGCAGCAAGAAGGGCCACAAGCAGAGGATACGGGAGGGAGGTGGCGAGGAGGGAGGATGGAGGGGGTCAGGAAAGAGAGGAGGGCGAGAAAAAGTGAGGGAGGACACCTGTTGAAAGTCTTTCCTCCGCCAACCCACATCACTCCTCCTCTCAGCCGAAGAACTTTGTCGCATGCTTGCTTATTCCAAACATTCCCATCATTACACAGGAAGATGTTTGCTGACCCTGACCCTAGAGAGAGGGCTGAGAGTTCAACGGGAGTTAGCATCTGACAAGGACTTGACGGAAGGCTGACCCAGTAAGCAGACAGAAATTCCATCGAGAAGCAGAACTCGACGAGTGGTCATGGTGTGCTGCGTCAAGATGCAGAGTCACATACCCAACCAAGTGCTTGTGAGAGCAAGTGCAACATGTTGAAAGCAAATAATTCTATTGTGCACCTCCCATCGTGACCTATCGTCTCGAAGATCTGCATAGTTCGCGACATATTCTGCAGCTTTCATTACCAACTTCATATCATATATCACATCATATCACATCATATCACATCACATCACATCACATCATCCTTTCTTTGAGTAAAGAGTCTCTTTCTTTCCCATCTTGGCCGCATAGCGATCTCCAACAAGTTTTTGGAAACAGGGTGGGGTACTTTTTCGGGGGTGGAGCCAGAGAAAGATGGGTGGGTCACATAATGTGTGAAATGTACCGGTCTTTTACCAACATATCAATAGGAAAAAGTTGTCGGATTGGTATCCTCTGATCAAATTTGGGGGGTACTTGTATTTATCAGGGGGTGGGGGTTATTGAGAGTGATTTCATGTTTATGATGGGTAGGTGATGGACACAGGGGTCCATTCCTCATGTCCAACGGGGGTGAGTACAAGGAGGGGTTATGACGGTGGGGTACTGTATTAGTGTTCAAGGGGGTAGAGATGGTAGATGAGGTGCATTGGCAATGGAGCTCTTCCTCCTCTCGTCAGTCGACAACTCCCTTGCACGCTGCTGGTCAGCCATCCCGCGTCGTCGAGCTCGCAAGAGAACTTTCCTTGTTCCCCCCACTCGCAGCATCGAGCGAGGAGGGAGGAGGAGGAGGGAGGAGGAGGAGGAAGGGGGAGGGGGGAGGAGGAGGAGGGAGGAGGAGGAGGGAGGAGGGAGGAGGTTGAGTGAAAGACGAGAGCGAAGCAGTGAGAAGCGGAGAGTAGAGAGAAGGAATATTTTGCAAGGGATCACGTAAAGAGAGCAGAGGCTCTGCACGACCGGGACTGCCATCCCACGCCTGGTATGGGTTGTAATGGAGTGCCCTGGATGTAATTCTGAGATAGAGAGGGCGAGGGGTAGAGAGAACTTCATTCACAACTTATTTCTCAGAGGGAAGAGCTTGGGAAGGCCCATCTCATACTGCCGATGCAAGATGTCAAGGAGAAGCTCACTCTCGCCCATCAGACGTGTCTTGAAAACTCTCCTCCTACCAACGTTGATATCAGAGCACGGGTGACTGATCATGGTGAGTTGGCTCGAGAAGTGATCACCTGCTCCCGCTCTCCATCAGTGCCTTCTCGCAGATCTCGTCGATGTCTCCTCCTTCTCCTGCGTGTGTGCCTGGCAGCAAGAACGCCATGGAAAGCACGATGTCGCCGTCCCCACCGCCGACCTGCATGCGGAGCTCACACAGAGACGAGACAGGAGCAGGGTGAAGAGTTTGAAGTTGTAAGGGAGAGGAAGAAACAGAAGATGGCGAGACGGAGACGAGGGAGGAAAAGGAGCAGAGAGCAAGGGGGTGACGGGACGAGGGAGAAGAGGAGCTTACACCTGAGGGATACAATCGATCAAGAGAGGATCGCAAAATGCATACTCGGGTCCCGGTCTCCTGCAATGGCGTGAGAATCGGAAGATTTGTAGAGCTCCGGTCACCTTTCCATGCTCGCAGCGTGAACTTGGGACACACAATCGTCAGTGATCATGCTAGTTCTGGTAAGTTTGGTGAGGAGGGAGCAGCAGGGAGAGAGAGTGTGGCACCGAAGACGATCAGCCAGAGAATCTCTGACAGCGACGACTTCTGGCGAGGGGGATCCGTGATCGACAACGATCACGTGAGGCTGTGAAGCACGTCAGACTTGGGCGTATGATGTAGGGATTTTCCTTATCCAGCGAGTTCTCCTCGATTGTTCGACGCACTTCAGTTTCCATGAGGGAGACCTTTTTGCCTCGTCAGTAAAAACCGACGTGGGTTGAGCTCAAGACTTACCAATCTGTTGTCTTGACATAGAGGGGGCGCAACGAACCACTTGATTTCGCTGATCTCTTGGGGAACGATCAGTCGGGACAAAAGATTCTGCCAGTGCCATGCAATACCGTCGTTGACCCCTTGGAGGATATCGGGTATTCGCTTCGTGACGGCCTTTTGACGCGTCAGGGGGGGCAAACGTACACCGCTGCTATCTTGGACTCTACCTTGCTCGGCCCAAGAAACAACGGCAACACAAGAATAGTCTTGATGTCTCGGTCTCTGAATACCTTGTCATACTTGAACTAAAACCATAAATGGTCAAGCACACTTACCGAACTTCCTCCCGCAAGAACGTCGAAAAAACTCTGGCAGGAGTCCCATCAAGTTCCTATGTGCCGCATAATCATGAAAGACACAAAGGCAAGGAAGTCGAGGAGTGAATATCATCTTCATACCTCAGCTGGTGTTTTATCTGCATGTGCAAGAGACACCGCAGTGACATCAACACCTGTACATGTAGTTAGAAATGTTATCAGAAATGAAGAAATACATCTGTCTACCAACCTGTTCTCTTTGACAATCTCTCTGCGATCGAGCGCAACAGCTTCGTGGAGGAAGCCCTGTTTCAGTTGTAGTCTTCTCAGTCTCCACGTGACTTTCACTGCAAACGTCACCTCGAGGAACCGTTGTCCACCAAGATGCAAAGGTCTGGCTTTGGGGAACTTTCAATCGTTGGCTCCTCCGTCTTGGCTTGCTCGCCATCTGTGGGAAATGCCAGTGATGAGTCCAGGGCATCCTCAACCCTCTTCGCCATTTGCTTGACCTTGAGAAAGGGCGTCAAGGCATCAGTGGAACCGGTCCGGTCATTTCAAGAATATCATCACACCTCTTCTTCTTGCTTCTGCTGCTTCAGCTTTCTCCTTCGATTTGCTTCGACTCTCTCCTCCTCCACTTGAATATACGACAGCAGATTCCCAACGATATTCTCCCTCTCGCGGGCAACACTCGACCCAGCTGCTTGAAAGGATGCCCTGGCCTTCTCTGCAAGGGACCTTGCTTTGAGGAACTCGCGATTGCCGAGAGCCTTTGATGCCTGGTTAATCAGATCGTCGCCCTCTTGCTTCGCTAATCTCAATCTCTGACTCAACTCCATGCCGGGAGGCCCGGCCTGTGGCGCAGCTTGAGATGCTGACGGCTGTGCTGGTTTGGCGTCACTGGAAGAGCACATGACGTTGAGAGCATCGTCTATTCTCTTTCTGATGGCTTTGATGAGCTCGTCCCTGTCTGTCACTCCGGCCTTGAGATACTCGAACCTTGCTTCTTCAAGCAGATTATGAGCATCAATGTACCTTGACGTTGTTAGCGCCTTGGCTGCTTCTGCCAAGTTCGCGTCGCCACGAGCTGCCGACATGGCGGGGAGAATCAACGATCCTCTCCTTGTTCGGCAGATGCATGGTCTCAAGACATGTTGATGCCGCGTGAGGAATCGAGCAGCTGGCATGAATGTTGTTGAACCAGACCTGCCAGCTGCACAAGGAGCAGGGAGCAGGGATCGACCCGATGGCAATGCAAAGGCCAAATTACAAAAAGAAGGAGAGTAGGGATGAGATGTGGGAGAGGAGGACAAGGACAAGGAGGAGGAGGAGGAGGAGGAGGAGGAAAGGGAGGACATCGCTGCTTCTGATCCCAGCATGAGCAGGAGCAGCTGCAGGAGCGCCATGCGATGCTTTCTTTTTGTGCGTCCCGTGGGCCTCATCCCCCCTGGAATTTGCAAGGTCCATCACGTGATATAACATGTGACTTATCACATGACCTCATTCTCTCATCACGTGGGGTGTCACGTGGGGTGTCTATTCCTGATGACCATGCAGGAGCAAGTCGCTGGGGTTTCAGCGTCCTCCCCATCATCATCCCCCTCTTCCTCCCCCTCTTCCTCCTCCTCCCCTTCCTCCTCCTCTTGCTCATCTCAAGCCTCTCTTATTCAGACTTCAGACGACTCGTCAAGGCCAGCGCAGAGAGCATGTCGTTCCTTTCTGCGAGGCGACAGCTCCGCCCTCCGAGTCTGCGGGGCTGTGCTTGTCGCGCTCCTCTTTGGAGTTGCGCTTGTGGCGTTCAACGATGCCGACATGATCACTGGCTCAGATGTTGTCTTGTCAACGCAGGATGTGCAGATGTTAGACAAGGAAGACAGCCAGTTCCAAGACAGAATCTCACGACAGATGCGGCAGCTCATGAAACGCGCGAAGAAGGAGGAGGCGAATGCAGGTGGGTCCTCACAAATGCACTCATTACAACATACACATGTCACTTGAGGACTGTTGTCATGTCTCGTTGGTGATTAGTCTTTCAGATGAGGAGAGCCATGAAGGGTTGTCCCTTGACACGAAAGCGAAAAGAACTTGCAAGATAGCGGAAGTTCTTCAGAATACTGACGATGGGCTGGAGAATCGCGCGAGAACGCAGAAAGAAGCCGCGACGTCACTGGAGGGGAGAGCAGCTGAGCTTCTCGGGGCCGCCAACATCGAGCAGAAAACGTGACGAGGATAGAAGGGGGAAAGAGGAGGTTGACGAGCTTCGGGCAGGTTTGAAGCTCTTCACAAGAAAGGATCTTCTCTCAAGGAAGCAGGTCAAAATCTCATGACCTCCGGCACAAAGTTGCTCTCCAAGGGGAAGGCGGTACTCATCCTCCTCCGCTGACGCCTCTGCTGACCTGCTGCTGTTTGTCAGCTCAATGCCACTACGCACGGCAAGGAGAAGGAGAAGGAGAAGACAGAGGGAGATAGTGAGCGCTACTTTGACCTTGTGCTTGTGATGTGAGAGGGTCTGACGCGAGGCTACAGAGAAGGAGGACAAGGCCAAGAAGATCCTCGCTCAGGCCCACGTCATCCTCTCGAAGGCCACACTGCATAAGAACAAGGCGGATGAGCTACGGGTGAAATCAGCCCTCCCTCCCACTCCCTCCCTCCCACTCCCTCCCTCCCTCCCTCCCTCCCACTCCCTCCCTCCCACTCCCTCCCCCCTTTCCCTCCTCCCACTCCCACTCCCACTCCCACTCTCAATCCCACTCCCACTCTCACTCCCACTCCCACTCTCACTCTCCCTTCTCGTTCTCCCTCTCTCCCTCCATCTCCCTTGTCACTCTCCCTCTCCCTCTCCCTCTCTTTCTCCTTCTCCTTGCCTCTCTCCCTCCCCCTCCTTCTTGCGTCCCTGTGTCTTGGTCGCCCTCGCTCCCTCCCCATACAACCCTCTGCCCCAGCTCACTCTATCTCTGCAAGGCCGAGGCGGATCGAACGTCGAAGGCGGCTCAGGCTGTCATGCAGCTGGGGGAGAAATTTGAGAGGAGAGCAGTTTCCCACCGGCTCAAGACCATGACGTATCGCTCCAAGTGCACCATGATGAGGGCCAAGGCAGAAGCTGCCCTGCGCAAGGCCGAGGTCTTGAGCAACTGCCGCTGGTTTCCCGCTGACACTCCTGGCAGGATGAGGCGAAGAATGCGGAGGTGCTACACAACATCTTCAAACCGAAGAAGTGATCGCAGGAGGGGTGAAGGAAGTTTTTGCGTGGAGGGCGAAGCGAAGAGGGAGGACGGAGGAATTCTCAGCAGGGGTAGTAGTAGTAGACTGAGCTAGTTAAACTCATTTTAATTAGATGAATATCAGAGGAGGAGAGCGAGAGGCCGCGTGAGACGAGGCTGCCCTTGCTGTCATCGCATCTTCGTCTTGAGCTTGCTCTGCTTCCTCTTCCCGCTCGAAGACAGCCTGGGGCCCCTCCGCTTCCGTGGCTGGACCAGGGCAGGAGGCATGTAGAAGGGGTCCTTGTGCAGCTGCAGCTCCCCCGGTAGGAAGGCGACCAAGTCCTGGAGGGCCACTACGTGACGGGGCATGAGGAAATGGTTTCTCCTCTCCCTCTTCGCCTTCCAGTGCGCAAAGATGGGCGACCGGAGCTTGTCAATCCTTCTGTTGTGAAGCTCCGAGAGGGTCAGGTTGGCATCGTCGGCGGTCAACATGGAGAGGGGGAGCAAGTCCTTCACTTGGAGGAACTTGAGGCTGTCGACGTACCGTCCCTTCCAGATGTACTTGGGCCTGTGGCGGCAGCAGAAGGAGTGGAAGGTCGTGTCAGCATCGTCCTCGTCCGGGAGGATCGCGAGGTGACAGCCGGCGAGCTGAGCGCAGGTGACGTGGAAGGCAGCGAAGCAGCCGCCCTTCTTGCACTGGATGCATGCTCCCCGTCCCTCCTGCTTGCAGATCTGGCAGACGAGCTTCAGCCTGTCCTTGCTCACATCCTGAACCCCAGTAATCTCGTCGAGCTTCTCCGGCTGGTCGAACCTGATCTCGTCGATCCACAACGCGCACTGCAAGTGAAGCCACTCGCCCGTCACCGCTCTCTTGAGGAATCCTCCTTCCACCGGGCACAAGTAACAGCGGGCAGACTGGGTCTCCGACGGAGCCAGCAAAGAGCATCTGGAGCAGGAGAAAGCTGATTTCTTCTTCACCGCCTCACCGCAGCAGAACTGATGGACCGTCAGCTTGCAGCCCGAGCACTCCAGCAGAGGGTTCTCAGCGTCGTCGAGGTCGTTGAGGCAGACGCAGCAGACCCCAGGAAAGACCATCGAGAACTTGTCATTGACAACCTCCGCCTGGATCCTCGCGTGATTGGCTCCCAGGCCGTTTGCCTTCCTGTTTGCCACCGGGCTGCAGCTGAGCTTGTGCTGGTAAGGCACCTCGAAGTCGTCCTCCTCCCGCAAGTTGCAAACCGGGCTGACGCTAAAGAGAAGGTCCTCCGGATGCTCCGAGCCGCTGGACTTGAAAGGGGTTCCCTTGCCCGGCTTCTTCCAGAGCCTCGTCAGGGACTTGGGCGGGTCCACCTCGGAGCCGCAGAGCGCCTGGAGGAGTTCGGGAGCAAACGGCTTCAGCTCGGGGCAGTAGGAGAAGTTGGGGAGGACGTCAGACGGGGGATGCTTTGGGCAGAAAACACTGCGGATGACTTCGTCCTTGCCGGGTTTCTCCCCCCACCACATGTAGAGCTGAGCGTACTGAGCACAGGTCACGTGGAAGGCAACCGCACACCGACGGTTCGAGCACTGGATGCACGCTCCCCTCCTCTCCTTGCAGATGCTGCACCTTAGCTTCCACCTTGCCTTGTTGATGTCCCGCATGCCCATCACAGGCTCCAGCAGAAAGCCATCCTCCAACGACGTTTCAGGCACCCAGAGAGCACAGGACAGGTGAGCGAAGCGGCCGTCGTCAGTCATCTTCAAGGCTCCGCCAGGCATGCTGCACAAGTCACATGCAGCGCCCGGCGCCCCCTTCTGTTCTCGGCACTTGCAGCAGAACCAGCACTCGTCTTCATCGGGCACTTTCATGATCCCGTAGCAAACCTGATGTACAGCTATTCCACAACCTAGGTACAAACAATTCAGTCCTCGCGTTCCAGCTGTTAGATTTGACTCACCATCACAAAAGACAAGAATGTTTCCCTCTTCGGCCCCATCGTTCAGACATACCGCACACCTGGCGTCGGATTCATCTTGAAAGGGATCGTCGCTTTCCTGAACCACCTGTCACAAGTTTGCAATGCATTTAATCTTCGGGCTCACCTTAGTGGAGATAAGCTCTAGGTTCGAATCAGCATCTGAGCGAGGACTTTGCAGGCATTTCAGATTCCGACGCCTTCCACCGCTGTGTTTCTTTTTACACTTAGAGATTAGAGAGCCTTCTTTCATAGGCTTGTCCAGCTTCCTCGGTTGGCTCATCGGATCAAGGTTCTCTGCCTCTTGATCGTTTGCCAAGAGAAAGTCCGGAGCATAGCCATCTGAGGGAGACAAAGGCTCGGGAACTCGCACGTTGGACATCATGAAGCGGAAAGAAGAGATTTCAAGCGCGTGCATTGCGGCTTCCATGTCATCTTCGGTCAAACTTCCCTTGTGCTGGCTGACAAACTCTTCATCATCCGAGTCGAGGTCGTAATCTACAAGCTCGTCCTGCTCCTCCATCGTCTTGGGAGAGAACTTGATGTAGCTCTTGCCACGCCGAAACAGTGACTGACTTGCATCCAAGTGTTGGTCAACCCTCTCTGTTACCTTCACCGATGGTATCATCACTGTCTCATTCTGCTGAGGTTTTGCCATCAGGAGAAACCTTTCATCGTCGCTGTTATCGTCCTCAAACACTATTTCTTGACAGATGTCGATCTTAATCTTCTCATTTTCACTCGCGCACTTGGAGCGAATTTCTTCAGGCGAGTTCATGCTTGCCATGGTATCCATCAAAATGCAAAAAGAACTGTTGTGCCCAAGAGAATGTTACAGACGAGGTCCTCTCAGCACGCATTCAAATTTCACCTGGTTGAGAGAACGGTCATGTAACCTCAAATCTCACTGACGGTCTTTCGGTGAAGACAACCATGAGTTCAGACGGAATGATATCGAGCTACTCATGACTTCCCACTTCTCTCTTCCTGCCCAACTACGTTTGGATTACTATCCTCGCTGTCTCTGATCTCCCATTCCCTCGCCCTTTCCCCACTGGTCCCTGCCCTCTCCTCCTCACTCTCCTCCCTCCTCCCTCCTCCCTCCTCCCTCCTCCCTCCTGTCTTCCAATCTCTCAAGCAAAGTCTGTCCCCTCCTCTTCTTCCTCTAACCTCCCCTCCTCCTCTGCCTCACCTCTCCCGCCATGTTCATTCAAATATAACCCCCACCCCCACCCCCCATCCACAGAAAGACAAGTACCTCACCCACACCTTTGCAATACCACCCACCCTTTAATCACTAAAACAACCAAGCAGCCACCAAAGGTGGTACCCTACCTACCCCTTCTTACCTTTCAATGCTACAGGAAGACCCTGTCGCAGACCCTGTCGGAGCTGCTGTCGGAGAGAGCATGGCAGGAGCCAACAAGCGCGGACAAGGACGAGGACGGGGTCAAGGAGGAAGACGACGATGACGAGTGCGGTAAGGAGGACGAGGATAAGGAGGACGAGGATGATGATGATAACACGGACGAGTGTGGATCTACCTGATGAGGATCCATTGATAATTGTGATGGAACTTTGACCTGTCCTTTCTGGAAGGCGTGAGGAGGTTTGAGTTGGGTGATCCCTTCATGACGAGCGCAGAGATGAATGTCCACACGCTCGTGCTGGCTGGCTGAAAGGCTCGGATCCCGTGTCGAGGGGTAGCAAAGGGACATAAATGGTACATCCCGACGCTTCCCCTTCCGGGGATTTCGAGGAATCTGAAGGATCGGAGCGATACGGAGTTAGAAGAGGAAATTTTAGCGAGTTGGACAAGGCGAGGTATCGCTGGTTGATTCGTATCGTGTTTGCTGTCTCCATCCTTGTGCTTTGGAACGAGTTCTCATCCTCAAAGGGGGTCAAGCGCATTCAGGCGGATTACCCGACAGCCTTGATGACGTCGTTTCAGAGCTTGAACTGCTCGTGGTCATCAGGACCATCCGAGTCATCGAGGACGAGCGTTGACGACATGCTGTTCTTCATTGACAGCGTCTTCTTCCAGCGGTTTGGTTTGCTCTACACTTTGAAGGGAGAGACCCTTCGGGCTTCGTACCAGCACCGTCCCAGTTGGACTTACACGTACACGATCTACGTTGTGTACACGCCCCACCTGTCAATCCGAGGGCTAGAGAAACAGCTCGGCGAACTTGTCCGACAAACACCTTATGAGATCTTCATGACTTCAGACTCGCGATCTATTCCTGGACTCTATCGTAAATTCCTGCTATTTCTCCTTCTGTTCCCCCTTCCCCTCCCCCTCCCCCTTCTCCAGCCTCTGACTGTCGTGGATCTCAAGGTTTCAAGATGCGGCAGCGAGACATGCCCGAGTACTCGATCATCATGGATGTGAGGGATTGACCTTGGGGCCAAACTCCACTCCTCTGAATTTCCATGCTGCTCCACAGTTTCTTCCAGCTGATCGCTACCACCACCCGTTGATCTCAAGGTCAGTGGAGGGGTGCTGCTTCCGTCTGACGCTTGTCAAGATCTGTCGCGATCAAACCCGCCGGCTCAAGGCTCGTTTATTCGTCTGCCAGCTCTGCCAACGAGTACGCGAGGAGGTGGATCGGCTACAAGGCGTTCGCCACCGTCTGCCGGCATGTCAAAGTCCCACCCCTATGCGTTGGAGTGATCGGTCTGCTGCTGTTCAGATGCTACGTCACGTCAACAGAGACCAACTGCTTTGAGCGAGCTCCGCTGATCGGTTATCTCACCCTCCACTTTGGGAGCACGCAGGTCAGCAACGCATGGCATGTGCTCGGTGCTGCTGAATCCTCGCTGCAGGGCGAAGATCCTCCCCTGCACGCTGATCCCATCATTGAGAATCTTCAACCACTACAGGCAGATATGAATGTTTCTTTCCTCCAGTCTGTGAAACCTTGGAATGTGCAGGACTCCCTCCGATGCTTGATCCCTTACGTTTGCACACCCTCGAGATACCATGGAGAAATCTCCGTCGTGATCACCTCAGTCTCCCTGGGTCTGCTGATATTGCTTGTTTGCTGTCATGGTGAACTTCCTGCAGCCCTCCTACTCTCCATCATTCTGTTGGTGCGAAATCGCCAGCGGACTTTCATGCGGCACTCCAGGAAGTGTTCGTCGGTGACCAGGGTCGACACAACGTTTCTAGTCCTCCTCGCTCTCGTCGGGGCTGGATCCTACTACATGTACCAACGGCTGAGCATGTACAGGATGCCCTGGGTGGCATGGGAGACGATGATATCTCTCGCTTCCTTACACTTCACCTACTTCTTCAACTCCAACAAGTTCCCCGCTCTTGTCTGGGTCAGCTCTGCTAGAAACTTGCGGCGATGACGTTGATGCTTGCTCGGCCAGATCACGGCTTTCTTCCTCTTGGCCTGCTGCTGGACTTACTTCAAGACTCTCTTCTTCCCCAACAGGTCTTGAAGTCTTGCAAGGCGCTCGTACTCCCTCACGCAGCACGAAGGTGCATCGATGGCCTAGACCTGATGCTCGGCCTCTCTACGTTCTCCTCCTTCGTGCTGAAGAAATGTACGACATCACATGCAGCTTCTCCTGCTAGACGACTGAACACGCTCCCGTGCAGATCACGGTGCCAAAGTTGCAGCCAAGGTGTTAGTGATGTGCTGTGGTAAGCAATCTGTCGACTTCGCCTCGCTAATAAGGCCCTGCAGGTTCAGGATGCATTCTGATGCTTGTTATGATCGTCTCCTCGATATTCTTCGGGCTGAGCACGTGCTGATGTCCAAGTCAAACTCAGCGCTGCAATCTTTTACCCTTGTACCTCTCAGAGTCACCTCAGTAGGGGTTTCGACAGATTGTAATGAAAAATTAAAGCACTTGAATATTACACGAGAGATTCACGAGAGAGAGAAATCTTCACATCCCGATGGGTCCGATGTTAAACTCTTCCAGCTTCTTCTGCACGTCCCCCCCCGCATCATGATCCCATTCGTTGCTGCACAGGGAGGTCATGCTCAGAGACGTTGCCTCCGCTTCCTCCTCCTCTCACCTCGTCGCCTCTATCTTCTCGCTCATCTTGTCGAGAGTCTCCTTGAGCATGTCGCCGAACTCGATGGCTGCGAACATCGTGACATTCCATCAGAGCCACGGAGGAACCGAGAAAGACGGAAGACCAGTACACATACAAACACAAATACATACAAAAACACACACACAAAACACACGCAAACACACATAAACAATCAAACACACGAAGAAAAATAGCACCAAAATCACATAAACCAATGACAAGAGCATGCACGGAGGAACGATGATAAAGATAGACAGAGCAGTTCTCACCCATATCTTCCATCTTCTGTTTGAGATCTGCTATCTGTGCATCTTTCAGCGCCAGCTCCTGAGGCCAAACGGCGTCAGTGTCCTGGGACGACAATGGAGGACAACAGACTTGGTCCTTCTGTTTTCGCAGATCTTCGTTGGCCTGAAAGCACAGGAGTCATTACTGGCCGTGCTGACAGGCCAAGTCAACCTGACGGGCGAGTTCCAGCTGATCTTTCAGCTCTTGGATGCTATTCTGTCACTGACGTGTGAGGTATACAAACAAAGTCGACCACCGACGAGACCTCTAAGGTGTTGATCCGCCGCAAGAGCTCCTCCTGCATGCTCTTGTATTGTCTTGTCTGCCCTCAAGGTCAAAGAGGCATACAACACACCCTCAGTGACCATATCAGCGGTGATGGCGAACGTGTTGTTCTTCTCATTTTCGAAATCCTGCAGGAGCTCTTTCTGCAGCATAAAGATTCAACCAGGAGCATGGCATTGAGATCGGGGTCTGCTCTCTCTTACCTGTTTTTGACGCATTTCATTGTGCGCTTGCAGAGCTCGATTCATCACATCTGTACGTTGAACTGCAGCAGCAAGTCACCACACTAACGACTTCCCAGGGAGATGGACCAAGTTCTCTTTCCAGCGCTTCGATACGAAGTTTGGCCTTCTGCTCCCGTTCTTCCGCTGTAAGCTCAGCTCCCTTCGGACACAGTATGTCAGCCAGATCTGTCAGGAGACTCCCTAACCTCCTCCGACGCTCCGCCTTTGGCTTTCGGTTTTCCCTTGCCACCCTTCTGAAGAAATTGTAAGTGCAATTCGAAAGAATTGGATCTTTGCGGACCAGCAAACCCCTCCCTCCCTCTCTACCTCCCTCCCTCACTCACTCACTCACTCCCTCACTCCGTACTCTTCTGTATGTGACTTGAATGCAAGCAAACCTCGTTCTAGTATGCCCCTGCCCTCCAATCTTTCACAGGAAACAAGTTGTTCACCATCGACTACAACTCTCCCTCCCTCCCTCCCTCCCTCCCTCCCTCCCTCCCTCCTCTCTCTCTCTCTCATCCCAGAGGCTTCCACATTTCAATAATTCATAAAGATTTTTCACATATCATTCTGATATACTTTCAATCTCAATTCGACTACAATACATTGATCCCACCCAGCTGCTCTCCTGGTTTAGATGTACCATGACATGATCCATCCTTACAAACAACATCTCAACTTGACTCTCTCTGCTCTACACCTCTACAATCTTGCTCTACATCCCCTTCCTCCATCTCTATCCGCCACCCAACAACCTCCTTCTCTTCCCAACCAGCATCAGAAGCGCACCTTCGGCATTTTGTCAACTGAAAACTCAAGTCGGATCCTCCCGGATACTCCCGGATACTCCCGGATACTAGGGGATCGGGCCCCGAACTTGGAAGTTCAGTCACTGGCCGCGGCGCATGGGCGGCCCGGCCCCCCGGGGGGGGGGGGGATGGGCCGGCGAGCCTCGGAGTACAGCGGCCCGGGCTGGCGCCACGCCGTCCGAGTCTCGGGCTGCCAGGCTGAGGCACGGTCACGGTCTGCGGCCGCGCAGCCGCCAGATGAGTCCGGCACGCCGCGTGACTGCACTGCACTGCACTGCGGCGCCGCGTTCCGGGACGGCGTCTCCCGAGTCCCGGGCCGGACTCGGGACTCAGTGCCGGTCTCGGACGGTGACCCGGTCGACGGTCGGCCCCGGCACAGTCCGAACCTGCCAGGCTGAGTGTGGGCCCCCGCTGAGTCACTGCCGGGGCCCGGGTACGTAACTTGTAACTTGCCAAGTTGGCCGCTGTATGACACCGACAAGCACTCACACGGTTGAACACCGATAAGCACTCAGCTAGTGCAAAGTGACCGTCCGCCGGTGATCGGTGAAACTCGCCGACTCAGTGAGTCCGATTACTGCCATGATTGAATGGCAACCAACCGTTGAACTTGACTTAAACAACTCATTGCCCGGGCCCGGACAAACTTTAGAGCCGGGTCGCGACGGTCAGGGCCACGGTACGGGTACGCCGGCGACTCCCGGTAATTCACTGCCGGCCGGGCAGTGCCGCCCCGGACCGTGATCCGACGACTCGGGTGATGCCAGGCCGGGCCGCCGCGGCTCCGGGCCGGCCCGGTCCAACTGTAGTACGGTACACTGACATGTTCAGTTGCCAGTTCGGACTTCAACCAGGGACTTGTGACTTCCTTTACAGCGCTACCACATTATTAGGCTACCACCCATAGGCTACCACATTATTAGGCCCACCCATAGGCTACCACATTATTAGGCCCACCCATAGGCTACCACATTATTAGGCTACCACCCATAGGCTACCACATTATTAGGCCCACCCATAGGCTACCACATTATTAGGCCCACCCATAGGCTACCACATTATTAGGCTACCACCCATAGGTACCACCCTGGTCATTGGTACCATATTCAGATACTGTACTCGTTTCGGAGTACGGCAGGCGCCTTTCAGTTTTGAATTTTCAATCCTTGAGTCCTCTCCGAGAGCTTTTTATCGAAAGGCCATTCTCAAATTTGAATTTTGCAGTGTAATTATTCATAGTATTGTAATATAAGAGTTTCGCAATGGTTAACTTCAAGGCTCGTGTTTGAAGTTCCGCCGGGTTCACCCGGGACTATTCAGCCCCCACCCCCAACTTACCCACTCCTCCTGCTCTTGCTCCTGCTCTCGCTCTCGCTCCTGGTGCTCCTGGTGTTCCTATTCCTGCTCGTCGGCTTTGTTTCATGCTTCCATTTCCTTCTTCATTTCCCTTCTTCCCTTCCCAACCTCCCTCCTCCCTCTTCCCTCCTACTCTTGTTCCACCACATACACATTCTAATACCTGTACTCTTGCTAAACCACTACTAAAAGCAGTTGCCGCTGTTCGTCAGCCTCCCTCCCTCCCCCCTCCTCCCTCATGAGTCCATCCACCATCCCTGGATTGCCAGCCATATTTTGCTGCTGCTGCTGCTGCTGCTGCTGCTGCTGCTGCTGCTGCTGCTGCTGCTGCTGCTTCTTCTCGCCTTCGGCTAATAGGAACATAGTGAAGAAGAAATGTTTAATGTCACTACATCTTGTTCTCCCTCTAGATTTCTTCTGTGATTTTCGATGATGGTTCTTGTCTCGTCCTATTTCCCCCTAACCTTCATCTTGATCGTCTGATGCCGCAACGGCTGATTTCTTAGTTTGCAGGTACGCTAGTCACTTTGACGTAATGATACGACCCAAGAAAGTTGGTCGAGGTAAACCAACAGAGGAGATAGAGCAGTCACTAGGACACGCGACCTTCGAGGACATAGACACGTTGCTTGAGCTGCTAGGAGTGGTTTCCGCCTTAGTCTTCTCCATTGCTATTGGACTCTTCTTTACCATTGAGGAACTGGAGTTTGACAACGCAAACCTGAAGTATTCCATATTCTTCGATCCCAACTTCAGAAAGTTTGTACGCAGCACTCTTATCGCAGAGAAAACCTCGGTGCAAATACCAACTGACCTGTCTAACAAGTTCGATTTACTGGCTATCTTGAACAGAAGTGAAAAATGCGATTCCTTGATTCTGAGTGATTCTTGTCGAGAAATCATGAGCGCAGCCCGGTTCGCGTCGAAGGTGTTTCCGCTACAATACATGTATGCATTTTACGGGGATGACAACTTCGTCTCAAAGAATCTTTCTATGTTCGGATTTCCAAGCACATGCATGTTGGGGGTCGCTCTGGCTGGTGCTATGTTCTTGCTCTGTTCACTTTCATTATCACCCACGCGTACCAACGACGAGGCGCTAAAGCGTTGGCTAGTTTACGGACTTCCGCTCATTGGCATCTGCTACCTCTGCCTTGCTATCGGGGTTATCTTCGGCCTGTCTGCGCTGGTCTCGATGGTTTACATTCGATACCCCACCGCCTTCGACTCATTCTTCATGCTCAGAAGTCTGCTGTACATTGCAGTTCCTGTCAACACCATTGTCTTCTGGGGAGCGATCATACTTCTCGTCTACATATTTCTCCGCTATCGTCGAAGCCAGGATGATGAAGAGACTGTGGAGAAGAGCGACATCAAAGCCGAGGATCCTTCAGATCTGATGGGGCTCCTTCAAATCGCCATCAAGTCCGATGCGGAAGCTTGTGACAAGTATGCTGCAACCATGAAACAGGAGAAGATCTCAGTTGAGCATCTGAAAGACCTTTCTCCCCAGGACATTCGCAACATCTTCAACATTCCATATGGTCATGCCTGTGATATCTTTAGAGCCGTCAACAACCAGACTGAAGAAGAGGCCGCGATGAAGGCTGCTATGTCACGGGGAAATTCCGTCAGTGTCCGCCTTGAGCGGGTGGATGGGCACCTTGTTCTGGTCGAGGATAAATCTAGAATTCTTAATGCAAAAGAATAGTTACGTTGACAAGAATGAGCTTGATTAGAGTTAATCCTTCATACATAAATCTGTGGAAGAGTCTAAATCCTTCCCTAGCTGCCTATCTGGATCATCAGATCCAGCAACTCATGCTCATGGCAGACGGACGCTAAGAAAGGTTATCTCCATAAGCCTCACACTCCCAGCGATTTCCTCGTACTGCTGTCAAGGCTTTTCCGAGGCGAGATAGGTTCAAAGAATCAAGGAATTTACTACGAAGTCCAGTTTGTCGGGCAATACATTGTTGTTCGAAACAGGTAGGTTTACACCAGATAAAGTTCTCTCAGATTGAAGGAGTCCATCTCTAACGAAGTCAAAGGACTCGTCAATTCATTAAATCATATTTGGAAAGATTGTGACAATCGATGTTGTCGAGTTGTCCGTCGGGACGGTCTTGCATGTGATCACAACCTATTTTGATCACAACCTTTAGTTATGGAGCATATGAACAAGATCTTCAAATATGTTCTACGTCGCGATGGCAAGGAGCAGGATTTGATCACCCATATCGAGTGATCGCTTTCTCATCTGATGAAAGTTGTGGGACAAAGCGGACAGAACAAGGCAGCGGCATCGTTGAGGTTTGGTGTGTGTTGAAGGTGGTTTCAGCAGTCAAAGTTCTTTTGTTCTTTTGACATTTTTTTGCTATCCGTCGGACTACTGGATAAACGGATGACCCTCATCACCCCCCACATAATATTTCTACCTAGATACAGTAATTGGTGGGTGGGTGGGTAGTGGAGATAGCGTCCGGTGATGAATGGCGCGAAGGAGAATGAGAAAAGTCAGAAGAGGTGGTGAAAGAGTTAGATTGAGGGCATGGACTCGATGGAGTAGCAGGTAGGTTCTATCGCAATGTGACTCAACAAGGTGCAAAGAAAAGTTGAAGCGGAGTACGCTGGGAGGAGGGAGAACGAAGTAAATAGAAGCAAAGTTGGAATGAGCAGGAAGGGATGAGTGGGAAAAGGGTATGGGAAGGAAAGGTGGGGAAGATGCAATATGAGAGAAGTATATATTTTAGTGGGGCCGCGATATCAGCGCCCAGACAAATTAGGAAAATCTGATAGCGGAGGGGATGGGAGTCAATATAAATGATTAAGAGGGGAGAGGACAAAAACTTTAGAGAATAAATCTCGTATTATGAGGACGAATGATCAGGTGATCGGATCGATTAGAAAGCAAATTCAAATCAAGCAGGATACTTGAGGAGCAAAGAAATGAAGAATGACACAATGCTCAGATCTCAAAGTGCAACCTGAATCAAGTACAAAGTGGGTGTAGAAGGAATTCAACAAATGACAACAAGGAAGGGTCGGAAAAGACGACCATTGCAATTATTCATCATTGGTTTGACGCTCTCTCTCTATTTTTTTGTGGTCGTTGGGCAAGATATTTTCATTGATGGACAGTCTAACTTTCCATCTGTTGGGGCCTTTCAATCACAGTAATTTCAAGCAACATATCTGATCCTGCAGCATTGAGGTTAGGCAATACAGCATGTTCTTCGTCCATATGGCTGTCGCAGTCCTCAATCCTTTGCAGTATAGCAAGCGGAATACAAAGCAACCTTGAGATCACCTTAACAGTCAGCAACGCTGAAATAACGAGGGTCCTCTCAGTCTCCTACGACCAGCCAACCATCACAACAACAATCAATTCAAACAATCCTGCAACTCCAGCCATACAAATAATTTACGTGGGAAACAATTATGGAACTTATGATAACACATTAGGAACAAGGCGAGGAGGAACCGAAAATCAAGTGACAACTTGGCAAAGCGACACGTCCCTATCATGCCAGCAGGCAGCAGGAGAGGGGAGGAGCATGCGGGTAGGGGTGACGGCAGGAGGGGGCGGGAGCGGAGGCACGGGGACGGAGGCGATCTCGGCAGACGGGGCGGGGGCGAGCGGGGTAAGGGAGGGCGGGAACAGGGCCGGGACGGGGTCGACGGGAGTGACGGTGTACGGGGCAGGGCTGGGGAGGTACGAGGGGTCAGGTCAAGGGCGGGGCGGGGGCACGGGGAGCGAGAGCACGGCGTGGACGTCGGAGACGGGTGTGGTGTGTGTCGGGTCGTGGCGTGTGAGTGGTTTGGGAAGCGGTCAGATCGTGCTGACTGTCACTAGTCTGGTCGGGACGGGCTCGGACCTGGTGTCGTATGATCGTGCGGATGTTTCAGGCGCTGTCGTGTCCAATCAGCCCTCAGCTTATGTTACGGTTAGGTTGCTAGGCAAGGGATACGGGTTGTCAAGCCAGAGCTTGTCGGCGTCGGTCATGACGGCTTGTCAAGCTACAGCATGGCAGTCGGAGTCGAGCCTGACGTGTCATGCGAGCGGTCTTGGCCCGGCAAGATCATCCGGGGCTACGTTGACCGTAGGCGGGGTAGCAGGAGGAAGCGTCTCCGAGGCGATCACCTGGGACGGAGGAAGCTTGCGGAGGGCGAGCGTCAACGCAGGCAGCACTGGCTCGGGGCTTGTGACTGTGACGGGACTAGGGCTTGGGACAGTGTCCCTGACAGGGAGGGGACAGTCCGGGTCAACAGCCGCAGAGAGCACATCATGGATGTCGGAGAGTGCGGTAGCTTG